GTGAACTAATTTCAGAAAGTTTCTGACCTATTTCAAGAATGTTCCTGAATTTAAGAATGCAGTACGTCGCGTATTCAAGACATTCGACGTGGGAATTCACTTTATTGCCTGTCAGTAACGGTTGATGCTTATAATTTTACCATTTTTACTACCTGGGTTGTAAACATAATGTTTTTCTCAATATAATTTGTTGAAGGCTCATTGATATTGTGTTGTGAAGTTAATTGTTTTTTTGACGTACAATAACTTTGACTGGTGGACACAGGCTCCAGACATTACTGCTCTACTCTGTGAGAATTGACCAATACCAAATTGCGCCAATGATCATGAGTACCATGAACGGCATCAGAAATGTTCCAAGAAGACTATATGTATTATAAATACAACGTCAAATAATGTCATGTAGCAGAGATGTCCTTTATGGAACTGACTGATGAATGCAAGTCTGACAATGCCTCATTTATTAAATATAACACTGAAAGGTGGTTTGGGCCATCACAATCATGTACCTTCATGCATGAACTCGAATTCCGTATCAGATACCAATATTTGAGCCCTTTCATTTGATAATAACATTTGAGCGCATTCTTACAGACTTATATCTGGAACCCTTTTCATCACTCCCACTGGTTTAAAGAATGGACAATGAAATGGTTAACTGATGACCTAATGGGAACATATCCGCTTTTATAACACATTTCGCTTAGCCAGGCTAACTGAGGTCTTGTCACAATATAACAAAGCAAGCCCATACTGGGTACATATGTGGTCATCTTATTATATCGACTGTAAAATGAACGCATTATAACTGTTCAAAGAAATACCCTTGATATCAGGAATGATAGGTGAGTGACAAGACATTGGAACATTTTCAAATTAACAAACGCTTCCTAAGAAAAAATGTCTATGATTCTAACCATAGTTAACATAGCAAAGGAATCTTCAGCATTAACTGCAATTAACATAGCATAGGCATTTTCAGCATCAACTTCAATTAGAAGGAATCTATGTAAATACTCTGTGAACAATTATTTACTGAGGTATCAGCTGTTGAATTCATACTTGTAAGTGTCTGCAAATATGGTCATAGCAAACGTGGGAAATGTGACTGCAAACGGCAGTATAAGACAAGCATAAGTTTCAAACATGTAGCGCCATCTGTAATGGAGTTAGTAGATATCGGGAGACATGAACATATCCGTTCAGAGCACGTATTTCAAACTTTATTGAAATCGGGCTAGGGCCCCGTGATATATATCGTACAAGGACACCAATATTGTTTTCTTGTTTAGACCATAACACACATGTAAATATGTTCTTTGTTGACCGCTGTGTGATTGAGTGAATGATTTAAAAATTATAGTGACATCGGCAATATTTTAGCCATATCGTGACTAAAATAGGCAATACGTTAACAATAGATAATATACTCTCCCAAAATAAGAAACTCATCATTAAAATAGCAATTTCAAAAACACATAAAAATACAGTTGAAATTCCTATATGCGTTTCTTTTTTGGGAGAGTATATTAGTGTTTAAAATCTGTCGACAAAGGACAAAAAACAAGTAGAATATCACAATTTGAGATATTAAAACTAGCTTCTAGCTTAAAATTACCTGACTTTTCAGGACAATACAACATAAAAATCGGGATATAGACAACAACTAAAGGTAGATAATAATAATAATAATAAGAGTACTTTTATAGCGCCTCATCCACATCACCCAGGGACATGCTCTAAGCGCATAACATATATACAGGTTCTATGTACAGGAAAGTTGACGTCATAGATATTTCTTGAAGAGGTGAGTTTTGAGCTTGGACTTAAAGACTGGGAGTGATGGAGAGGTTTTAAGATCCGATGGTGGAGAGTTCCAGAGAGTGGCAGCAGCATGAGAAAATGAATTTGCACCAAAGGTTTTGAGTTTGCACACAGGAACAACTAGCAAGAGTTGATCGCTGGAGCGGAGAGATCTTTCAGGTTTGTACAGTGTTATCAAATCATGGAGGTATGCTGGACCAATGCTATTAACAGACTGATAAACAAGGGAGAGCAGTTTAAATTCAATCCTCTCGCGGATCCGGAGCCAGTGAAGAGAATTGAGAGCTGGCGTAATATGAGAGCATAGCTTTGTCCTTGTGATGAAGCGAGCAGCCTGATTCTGTATTTTCTGGAGGCGCTGTAATTGTTCATCAGAGATACCAATTAGTAAACTATTACAGTAGTCCAAGCGTGATAGAACTAGAGATCGAACGAGGGTGGCCGTTGCTTCCATGGTTAAGATGTTGCGTATGGAACCAATATTTCGGAGATGGAAGTGACATATTTTGCATAGGTGGTTGATATGACTTTTCATAGACAAATTTGAGTCCAAATAAACACCAAGATTTCTTACAGAGGGAGAGAAAGGGATTGAGGATTGTCCAATGGAAATGGAAAAAAGCTGACACTTCTGCTGTCTTTGACGTGGGGCAATAATGATGGCTTCTGTTTTACTATCGTTTAAAACCAGTTTGTTGTTTGTCATCCATGACTTGACATCATTGAGACACGACTCCATGTTATCTTTGGCCTTCTGCTGACTGTCTGGACTTGGTTTAAAGCTATCCACCAATTGGGAGTCATCAGCATAAAAGTGCCGCCCAATGCAATGATCAGAGATCAGTTGTCCCAGAGGTTTGGTGTACATAGTGTACAGTATTGGTCCTAAAACTGAGCCTTGTGGCACTCCACATTCAAGGACATGTCTGTCTGACAGTGCCCTGTTAATTTGAACAGACTGTACACGATCTTCTAGATATGATGAAAACCATTTTAGGACTGTGCCGTTTAGTCCATATTCGATCTGTAGCCTTGATAACAATGTTGCATGGTCAATAGTATCAAAGGCAGCTGAGAGGTCTAAAAGAACGAGCAGGGCAATATTTCCGTCATCTACGGACATCTTGATGTTGTCCAGAACACCATTTAGAGCTGTCACAATACTAGGGACAATGGTGACTTACACGCCCCTGTGCGTAAGAGGCGACTGACGGTATCGGGTTGACTTGGTTGACTCATATCATAGTATTCCAAGTGCGAAGATCGATGTTCACAATGTCAATCACAGGACTGTTTGGCCTAGGCACGATTATTTACAGACAGCCGTCATGTATGAGGAATATTGCCGGGTGCGGCGTTAAACAACATACAAACAATGATAATAAAACGTCAACGATTGAAAACAACCTCAACGAAAAACGATGGAAAACAAATCCATCAGCAATGGAAGACTTAACCCCGTCAGTGACGGCAAACAAAGACAAAAGAAACCGATGTGTTATGTATTGTAATCATAATTGTGCATAACACAAGTTCAAACAGTGCGGATTCTATTATAAAAGAAAAGAAGTCCTTAACTTTAATAGTCGTCTAACAACCGGCGATGAGACGTAGGTAATTACACGGAGTACGCGTGTTGCTTTTTCAGTTCCGAGCTGGAAGTTTCAAAACAGTTTAAAGCAGGTACAGACATATATTTTGCTCAAGTTGTGCATGATACACACAGGAATATCTCATGAATACAGGTTTCGAAAGGTCCACAGACACCTATGAATGTTGTGAGATCTGACTTGCACTGAAAGGTTTGGACATGACTCATTGATTCGGTTAAGAACGTGTCGTCTCAGTATACTTGACATTAATCACTGCATTAGCTGGTCTAGACTTGATGGCTGCCGTCATCTAGTTGGCATATATCTGAGAACAACTAAAATTATGCTTTCTACGTCAATGTGATCTTTCGGACACACGACTGCTTGCGCTGAAGATCAATGAAACTAAGGACACTGTCAGTGTTTTCGAAGCTACCAAAGCCATGTTTAAAAGTACTACTAGCATTCAATAAATATTTTCAAACATTTGATAGCATATGAGCGTTAGTGATCAGTTGAATGACAAGTCTGAAATATGAGTGAGCTCATTTTAAGTCATAGTGTGTCCAAATTAAAAGTTATCCTTTTAGCGTTCAGATGATCTCACTGGCACATGACGTCCTGCTTTCAGTGTCAGGAATTAGGTACAATCATCTCGTATCTCCTTAAGCTTTACCGATAATTATTTAAAGTACTGTCGGAAACAGAAAAAAACTGTTTTTAGGCTGTTACTCTGTATCGCTAAAATCTACACAATTGCAAATAGCATAAATTATATCGAAAATATCCAAATACCCCACATCGGCCTAATTTGGCGTTCAGTGGGATGCGTAATGGATATCCAGAAAAGCATGTTTACTCGTAAAATCGGGCAAACCTTAGAAAAAATACGAATAGCTGATGAAAACAATAGATCAGACTATAGATGGCAATTAGGTCGTTCAGCCAGGTATGACGTCGGACAGTCGACTCACCTGACATGAAATGCATGTGCTGCCTGCAGGCGCAAGAGGTCATCTCAAAGATATTTTATGCTTTCTCACGTGTGTTAAATATGTTTCATCTATTGATTAACATCTTACGTGCCTTACTTTCATACAGTTTATGTTGAGATATGTAAAAGAGTATGATACCATAGATGGCCACCTGATGATCGATAGGACTGGATATTATTTGAAAATTGTTATGACATGCCGTTTGCTTCCCCAGTTTAATTCCCCTAAAGGATTATCTTATCTCAGCTGATATCTCTTATCCCCCAGCCCGACCCCAACCACCCGTCCTGACACACCGTTTGAGACGACCCCACCTATTTGTTTCTTTTTAAAGTGATAGCGAGACTGCATGGTATCTACATCCTTAATAGTTTCAGTATTAAAGATATTATTTTTTACGTCAGCTATCGTTTATAATGACGCTAAGTTACATTTTAGAATGGGCATTTAAAAAGTGTCGTTTTTAGTACAATCTCATCGCACACTAATTTGCATAAAGTCATGGTCTGTTCCAAATAAGTCGCTTTGGACTTAGAAAAAATGCATTGCTCAATTCGGCACTAATCTCTCCTCAGTAAAGTCCTGTTTCTACATTTCCTATCCCCCTACCACTGAGGCTGTAGTTCGGCCGAACTTAGTTTAACAGATATTACACACTTTCACATATTAACTACAGTAATTGCACATATAAATGCGGAAAAAAACAGGGTTTTTTTCTATTTCGGACACTACTTTATTGGTCATTTTTACAATTAAAGTGTGTGAATGATCAAACGCTGAGGAATATAAAAGAATTTAATGCATAAAATCTTAAATGAAAGGGCCTGTATTTGATAGTGGGGTGCAACACACACGAACATAAACTCCTCGAAGCGAATGCAAAACATGGCGGTTTTTTAGCAATATACAAAAAAATATAATGTCTGTTTAAAAATCATTTAAACTAGTAAGGTGGTACCATTAGGCCTTCGTACACAAGTCTGTACTTTGGCTGAGTGTGTCCATGTTTGGGTCTACTTTCAAATAGCCCAAAATACCTCAATTATAAAAGTGGCAGCAGGAATTGATGTATGCCACAGGCATTCATCCCTTTGGTGAAAGAAATCAACACGTCAATGGGAGTGATAAACCAATGGTCAAAATCAGGTAAAATCTTAAATTGGAATCTAGGAACCTCACGCCTACTGAACTCTGTAGCGGCAACTTGAACGACATGTCCTTTCGCCCCAGTCCTTGCCGTCGTCACATTATGTAACGTCGACATGATGCGGTTTATTACCACTAAATAAGCACCTACTATTTAGAGTTATGTTGCGATGAGCAGTGGAGATTGTGTTGTTGGGTGTTGTTACTGATTTTTTAAATAAATACAATAATTTTAAAAAATGAGCTTATGAACAACATGTTTTCATAAGAAAGTGGCGTTTGGGTTTTGGTGTCGTTTCAGAATATGACATCCATTGTGTTCCAGCAACTGCAATAAACATGAAAAAAAATACGATATTTCCTATACACGAAAGAGTTGGAGTTGAAACTAGGACATCAATTCCGTGGTGTTTTCAGGCGACGAAGATAATCCCCAGTGTATGCTAGGTTCCAGCGACTTCTTTAATTTCTACAAACAAAAAAGAAAAGCAATGCATTATATTGCAACTGCCCAATGGTTACTTGATTAGAATTGTACTAAGTATAAACCGACCAGCAACAAAGGAGTATATGATATGTAACAACGTAGCCAAAATCAGGCCTGTAGCTGTTTATATTTCTTCCCTTTCATGGCATCATAATTAGAATAACGTAGGACATGTTAAGATTTATGGGACGGATGTGTTATTTGCAAGGAGGAAAAGACCGAGCAATGTTTGGCCAAGTGGACGGGGAAATTACAATAGACCCCTATTACAAGGAATCCTTTGCACATGAAGTAAAGTTGAGCCAATCATGAACAATTGTGAAAAAAACTTGATGTTAACACATATTCCTAAATGAAACATGTAAGCATTAAATTTAAGCCATTAAATTTAAACATGTAAGCCTGATGCACGGCTTTAAACAGGTTCCTGTGTATACATTACCTCTCTGGTTGTATTTCCTTCTGTTTTGTACACCGTCCAGATGAAGACAAGAGGTAAAGGTAAAATAGAACCAAAGGATATCATCCATCCAAGTCCCGTGGCCCAGGTAGGGTAGATGTAGTCACCATAGTTAGGGGGTCGGTAGGAGTACAGGGAGTAGCAGAAGATGATCTGTAAGAAGGATGATTCCGGGTATGACGAAACATTTCCGGTGATGTTTGACATGGATATGGCAACATCGACATTGACACAGCAACACGGAACACTGCCACTTACCAGAAGGAGTCCTGGGCTGATGAACTTCAGGCTGAAGGTCATGACCCTTGGGACAGTCTTCCCGCACATTAGTTTTATGACACTCTGCAGTCTTTGTGTGCCTAAAACAACCAACCGACTCATTGTGTTTATCTCGAGGTACACGAATATCGGTAGTGTACATAATCTGTATTCACGACACGGTAATGCCGAAAGAGATCATGAGAGTTAGTGTCATTTACACCTCTCAGCCTGTATATATTAGGATCCTTAATTCAGAACAAATACGTATCAAAGCTTCAACGTCATGTGTTTAAGAGGCAACTCAAGGCGTCCGATCTCTTGTTAAGTTGGCTCTTTCTACACCAGTTAATTTGGCTCTTTCATTTTATTTTGTGAGTTATTTTGTGTATGTTTTCATTTTGATTGTTGCAAGTTTTTAGTTCGTTACAAGATGCTTACCATAGATCCAGCTGACCACAAAGCATTCCAACATGCCAAACAGTGCTATGGAGGGGAAGAACGCATACCAGTCCACCAGTGTAAGCATGTACATTCCTCCCTGTCATAAAAGTTTCAACATTATTGATTTTCTGTTTTTCAGGTTGGCAGAGGCGGTAGTGTTGCGGTTTGTTCGGGGATTTCAGGGTGGAATCACACTAGCCTCAGTATTGTCAATGATTGCTTTGGACATAACTAACATTCCAGGTCAGGTTACGCACACCTTAAACCCATACTCTGTCATCGTATCTCATTAAGTCAGAAATGGTATTATCTTTTCCAGATTAGATTATTTGAAAACGGCCGTCATACAGGTGTAACGTTGCTGAGGGAGGCGTTGAACAAACTAATACATGTTAATTATTTAGTTGGTGTTGTACAATGAACAATGATTTTTTAAAGGTATGGAGAGGGTTTTACTAGTTTTGCTGTTGTGAAAATTAGTTGCATTTGTGCACTTATTAAGGTGCTTTACATATCGCTAGTTGTTGAGTTGTTGAGTTGGGTTTTGCGTCACATCGGCATTATTCCAGCCATATACTGACGAGAACAAGTGTGCATTAATAAACATTGTAAGTACATACTCGGAATGAGTTTTATTTCAAAAACATATATTCATTACATTGTCATTTAAAAGCAGAAAAAGTCATAGCACCAAATTTAAAGGCAGGCAATTTGTTATTCACATTTCACAGTTACAATTTATGATAGTCACATTTCACAGTTACAATTTATGATACATATCAACTTCCCTCAGGTAGTTCACTATCTGATGAGCGCTCACGCGGGAGAACAGATATTTCAGGTTTCTTGCATCATAATGTGAGTCCCTTGCAGACGATACGTCCATGCATTTGAGCAGAATATGCTTGATGGTGAAAACCTCATCGCAAGAGACACACATGGGGGGTCCATCCCCATCCGTTTTCAGCAGATAGTCATAAGTAAACCGACTGTGGCCAATACGACATTGTCGTAACTTACATGCCATTAAGCCACTGCTTATTATTATAGCTCTGATGATACATCCTCTTATGATAGCATGTTAGTCTTACTGTTATTGTAATATTTACAGGTAACCAGAATTGCACGTTTACTTATTTAGACATGTTTTAATTGATGGCTAGTTTTTCCTACAACTACCAGTGATCGTAGTGATGGCTTAAATCCTGATGGGGTTCATGAGTTAGTATTGTTGGTCTTATCTTTGGTAGTAGGTGGTCTATAGCTCGGATATTAATGGCATTACATGTTATATTTATCTTTGTGTTTAATAAAGTATTTTCTCATTGGAAATGTTTAGTTTGGAGACTCAAGTTGTGATAATTTTTATTCTAATGTCCTTGTGACAGCATTTCGTTTAGTTAAACCAATTTGTTTCTCACCACTATATGGCTGAAATATTGCAGAAGTGACGTTACATTTTAACTCACTCACTCACTCAAGGCACTGCCACTTACTTCTATTATATATAACAACGTCCAATATTTTTCATAATGCCCAATATATTGGGACGGGGAAGGCTCTAATTATGTTGGGTCAGTTCGTGATATTCACCTGTGACATGTAGAGTAGACCAAGGAGGAAGCATGGTACCAGGACCATGAGGATGATCACCCAACGTCGGCGTGCCAGGCGTGGAAACTGATCTGACAATGCCGTTACGGCGATCTCATAGCATGGTAACTGTGTGGAAACGGGATTCCAACACATCAAGCACGTTTAAGTCTGATACATATATGAGAAACTTTGGAAGTGTTCTTAATAGAGCAGGAATATTGTGGTAATGTTTACAGCAATACCTTATAAAGAATGAAATATCCTACACAATATATGTCTTTCATGCATTTGTTAAAGATATGAATTTTTTTATGGCTGAGTTTGAAAAACAATGTCTGACCTTTGCCGTCCATTTTTAAAAGCGATCACAGGTATTATACATGCAGATTTTGACAGGATTGTCCATCTATAGAGATTTTTATTGTTCAAAGAGTCGTTGATCTAAGAGCATGGAACAAAGATTTGCTCACATTCATGCATTTGAAATAAATGATCCCTGAAACATCTACATACGGCCTTTTGGTATATTTAGCCTAATATCAACATTCGTTATCGTAATTTGGAATGTATACTTTACCAATGAGTCGAATCCGAGTGTAATCAAGTTCAAGAAAGTCAACACCGACCACAACTGAGGCAAGGGGAGTGAAGCCACGGCTTCTGGATATGCGATGAATCCAAGGTTGTATCCTGGATAAATAAAAACAGAATTATATTAGTCAAACTATATATTCATAAATAAATGTCGTTTAACGTGTCACCTCGCACTGATGCTGATGAACATATAATACCCAGATATTGCAGACACACATGGAAGCCACGTGATGGCTGAGTTAAAGTACATTGGGTGTGCGACTGTCCACTAGCGGCTAATTTGTGAAACCAAATAATTTGATCTAGTCCATCTGTTTCAATGTCTTCACATAAATCAACTTTCACGACTAAGACTTGTTTCAACGAAAGTACATTCTTCAGAAATATCATGAAGCTTCACAAAAAAGAGACATACATTTTATCACGAAAGACATAGATTTCCTTCGACATACTTTAGGTGTCACTGGTATGTACAAGGTTGATGTTGCCATAGTGGTATTGGTCGGAATAAATAAAGCAGTGTTTTATCAATGAAAGGAGTGCAGTTTGTCCGTAAAATCAAGGAAGTACCTGAGTATTGGAATGAATCTACAGTCACACCACGCAGGTGAGCAACGTGGCCCATGATGGCAAAGAAGGCAAACCCGATGTATATAGATGTCAGTGCAACAGCGGTAGCTAGAATCAAAGCGTCCCTACAAAAACAAAATGTTATTTTATTATATTTCACGCTGTAAATTAATTTTCATGTCTCATACAGCGGACGAAGCATGAGCATCGATCACACTCTTGTACATTTAGGGGCAGAATTGTTAATCCACCACTTAGAAATTATCCTTTGGAACATATTCTGAACTCAATCTGTCAGTCACATTTGTAGAACTTGTAAGTGGATGTGAAATTACAGTATATGGGATACAGTGTACTGAACACGTTAGACATGGCCTTTTAAAAAATGTGAATAGCTGGTTATTGGTTTATTGCTGACAAAGCAATTCCTTTGCGAATGCTCGTATTCATACCCCATGGGTGCTTAACGTAAAGAGTTCTAGTCCTAGCTCCGAGCTGTTCAATTTAATCTGGAAAATCCTTCTCACAAACTGCTTAAGTTACGTGAATGAAATTTGCCATGCCTGTCATGCACATCGTGACATGAAAATTGAAGCCATAAATTATTTTTCAGAGTTTTGACTTTTCAGTTACACAGTTATGACCCTTAGTCCATGTTATTTTAGTAAGTATTTTAGTATGTAAGTATTTTAGTATGTAATGGTAACCGGTTCCTCAGAAACTACTAAAGTGACATAGATGAAACATTGCAGGATATTCTAAGAGAAACATTTTAGAAGTGTGTCCCTCTTGATCATATTGTTTTGCTGGTGGCATCGATAAGTAAGGTTACATCGGTGCCTGTTCCTGATGGTGTAAATGCTGACGAGGTGCCATGGTCCCTAGTTTTGGGGCACCATCTTATGTTGCTTGTTAGCTTGGGCTTTCTTTCAAAACCTACTGTTACACCTTCAGGTGTACATGTATAATACACATTATTCATATATTTTTCCCCACATGTTCCCATTTTAGTTATATTTGGTACAAATGATTAGTATATCCGTTCAAGGCCCCTTGTAAATAAATGTTAACATTGTATCAAATCCCTATAGTCGGAATCTGGTATTTGTTGAGGGTCGCAAACGCACAGGCGGTTTATGTGATGGGTCTCTTATGAACTCAAAGTACCTGGTTTATGAAACTGCTGTTGACAAGTCAATAAGGTTTAAAAAAAGGTACCTGAAGCAATTGTTGTTAAGTTTGTTGTGTCCTGCCATTGTTGGAAGACATCCAAACGCAATTCCGTGTGCGAGCAAGGCGTAGTTACAACCCTCAATCCAAATCTGGAAACAGAATCTGAACTGACTAATACTGATTGCAGTTATGTTCGGAACGAACACGAACATTTGCAACTGAATTCAAAGAGAACATATTCTGTAGATTTATAAGTATATATTTTCATAAGGCATAATTTTGGCAGTGTAGAAAATTACGTAATAGTAGAAAAATGAAAGGATTCCGTATTCGTACATTTAGAAAAGAAATAGTTTTGATGGAGTCATAAGAGTCAGCAAAGACAAGCCCTTAATTTACACCAATACAAGCTGACATGAATATATACTGAATATAAGCGAATACGGGAACACCTGAAAGTACAAGTGTTCCTGTATTCGTTTCCAGGTTTCTTTACAAGCTTTGTATTGCACTGTGGGTGAAATTCTGGAAAAGAATAAAGGAACACATGTATTTTCACGTGTTCCCTTTCTCGTGACCATGAGTATATTATACTTCGACATAGAACATTAGATCCATTGTTGTCTTTATAATTACAGTGTGTTCAGACAAGCCAACAACATGTACTCGACATACATATTACCAATATGGAAAGAAAGCATGTTCAAGCATGTATCGGAATGTTTATTGTGCTTTATAGCCTTTCTCAATGATGATAGATTCCATTTGGAAAACAGAAACATAACTAATCACGCTCTGGTATTTCCGAATGTTTCAATATAGACCACAATATTGGTACAGAAAGTTGTCTTTGTTGCTGGTTCATCGTACCTGTCATACCTTAACACTGAAGTACGATAATTGTAACGTGAAATAGTTTGTCTAACAGGGCCAACATTCATATATCATTACACTTTCCTGGCCGATGATTGGATGATGATATATAATTGATAGTGAATGGACCGACAGTTAATGGAGTAATTCCTTCCATCCTTCACCTTTGGATCCAGCAGCTTCTCAAAACGTGGATACATGTAGAAATATATCCCCTCAGCTGAACCCGGAAGTAGGCAGCCCCGGATGAGGAAAATAGTGATGAGGATGTAAGGAGCACCAACGGTGACGTACACAACCTGTTGCCATAGACACAAAGAATACAACTGTCATTGAAATGTGTATGCACGGCCAAATGGTGAATTATTATTATATAAAGTGTCACAAACTACAAACACTTCGCATATCCAAAACATACACAATCCCGTCTTTCTTTGTCTCTACCTTTCCTGAAACCTTGATCCCACGAAAGAGACATAAGAACGCCAGGGTGTATGTGATTAGGAGACAGCCAACCAGAGGCCACCGCATACTACCGAGATGCTCCAGACCGTCGCTTATCTGTAAGACCTTTAACCTGTTCAAAAGAGGGTAACATTTTGAGAAATAAGGCAATATTTGAGATGTGTCTTAGACAGAGGACGAGCACTAATCTGCAATAACCGTACATGAAATTTCCATTTAGAATTTAAATAAAGCATATACATTCATCGTGTGAAGTGATGCCATAGCGTGAATGTAGCAACTGACTTAGCCTGATGAAAGTTGATGTGTCGATCAGAAGCTACCGTGACTGAATTAAATGGCTGCCAAGGACGTATAACCATTGAATGTAATATAAAAACCTCAACAAATATTGAGTTTTTTGTGGGAAAATGAATTATTTCACATGTAATGACATCAACCAGTTCATATTTGCAGAAGATGTTGGGATTAAACTCCCGGAATCTATTCTTACGTCCAGAATTCTTCTGCCGGTGTGATTACCGTTAAATTCATTGTCCCATTAGACAAGACAGAAGAGTTGTGATGGACATTGACCGTACTGGTAAAGGCTACGGAAACATTTGTAGAGCTGTTTTGTGCGTCATCGACGACGTTCTTGAACGTTATACACGATGGTGTGTTCCATGGGTTGTCACAGTTACTCCAGGGTATATTGGGAGAGAAGGAGTGGTAGAAGTAGTAGATTAACCAGGAAAACAGGGCAGCGTAGTAGGTGCTGTAGAATAGGCTGATGAGGACGTTCCCAATTCCCATACCTGGATAACATGCGTTATTTGAGGTCATGGGCACAGGCTTGTATTCTTGAACAACAGAAATCGATATGACATTCAATAATATTGAAACACATTGCTATAAACCACCAGCAACCATAGCTAGGCAACCTTACAGGGTATCATTGGGAATTACAGTACTTCAGCTTCCTGCAAAAATCCCCGGCATGATGACTTCAGTCACTGATAGTTGTAAACAATGCCAGTCATAAATAAAAAACATATGTGTAATTATTACATCAATAAAACTCCAATTATCACATCAACCTTAGTTAAAACACATTCATTCAAAAGCAATCTCTTTTAAAAACCCAAGAATTAAACATACGGATGAGACTCCCCATTTTGAAAAGTACCCACTCGTTTCGTTTTCAATAAAGTCATGACACTTACCATTTACAGCATTATGTGCAACATTATTTATTGTTAACAACTATCCGGATTGCAACAATGCTTCCTGGATATATTAATGCAGTAGGTCGCTTATTCAAGATATTCCACTTTAAAACGCCTGGTGACTCATGTAATAGCCTGCTGCAGAAAGTTAAATATATTTTATTGCCTATTTGGACTGTTAACCTTATGGGTTTTATTGAATATAATTTTGATCGTTCAATGATCTTGTGTTATGTGGTCTCAAGTCACAGTTTGGTTGTTTACATGCCCAATCCTGGGAACAAGTTTATATATGCAATTGTATCCAACGTGATTTCGTTCAGTTTCTGCTCTTTCCTGAGGAAAGACAACATCTCGAAGACATTGGGGTGAGCCTTAGAAATAATTTTCTTAAGGCGACCATGCCAATCTTCCAGGTGGTTATTGGTTCTTGGACCGGTGTTCTGGTAGTGGTTCCACGCTGTCTGGGGTATATGTCCTTCCACCCACTGGGTGGTCACGTAGTCGGCGAGACGGAGGCAGCGAGGGTCGTCAGGCATGTCTGCAAGTGCGTTCAGCCACACGTCGTCTACCTGGAAGCACAAGATTATTTTATGAATACATAATTTGTGATTATTGATCATCAGCCGCGAAGTACACAAAATGAATGACATAGTTTAAGCATAGTAATATATGATTTATAAGAATAAAATCCGATTCCAATTCATAGTTAGAACTAGTGAGTTCATATCACTAATTAGTGAACTCCGAGTTCACTCACCAGTTCAAGTTTTAGTGTCACCCATCTCATTAATCCTTTAAAACAACATGTATCTACCTCGGCCGAACATCAAAGGATTTTTACTGTAATAACAAATGTCTACTTCCAGGTACGACACCCTCAAGACGAGCAATCTACGGCGGCATAATTAGACGCCATCTTGAAAAAGCTTGATCAACAAACAGAGTTTGAGAGGACGATTGATGACAGAATCTCCAACTTGAGACAATTTATTGAGAGGGCAAAGGGTTTCAGGAAACTGAAGTCAGAAACAGAATATACGTGGTCTCGGGAAGGAAACCGGGTCCAATTCAACGTTAGTTTTGGAAGATCTAATTAATGTAAGGCAAGCGATTCACAGCGGCTCTTCTTTCTCAGGGCGTTGAGGACGCGATCGCCAAATTAGAAAAGGAAAATAAGCTTACAAAGATCACTGATTCATCGGAAGGAGATGCCCATCACCGGATTGTCTGATGCAGACTCCATTATTTACATAATGACCGCTGCCATAAGCTGGTATATTGCTGAGTGCGTTTCGAAACAGCAAACCAACAACATTTGAATTTAAGTAAAACGCCCGACTGATTCTCCTCCATTCACCCTACACCCTTGTTTATTAAGGTCTCACCTCAGGGAACCCGGGTCCAATTCAACGTTAGTTTTGGAAGACCTAATTAACGTAAGGCAAGCGATTCACAACGGCTCTTCTTTCTAAGGGCGTTGAGGACGCAATCGCCAAATTAGAAAAGGAAAATAAGCTTATTAAGATCACTGATTCATCGGAAGGAGAATGGGAAACCGTGAAACATTCTGTTTCAAACGAGCTAGCCGATAATTCGGACGACGACAAGAAAATTGAGAATGCGGAGTCTAAGGCTATCATGAAACTGAGAGCTAAGCATAATCGTAAGATTCCTTATGGTCCCCGTGCTTCTCGCAGGTCCAGTACGCTTCCGCAGTATGCTTCTACTCCTGCTGTGCACAACGATCCCGTTTGCAGCCCTTTTGGGTCAATGGTCGTGGACAAGGGTAATCTCACTTTTGCGGAGAATTCTCGCATTACATCCGGGAATGTCCTCACCGGTCAGGCGGAACGAGCAGATGTACGACAGGAGCCAGCGCCACGACAACAAGTGCCACGTAGTCGGGATACTGATGTATCAGTTAACTCATTAAGGCCGAGAGACGCATATATGAGGCAAATTAATCAACTCCTCACAGCGAGTGACGTGTTTATGGGGCAGGTAATTAGCAGTTTCTCACAGCGAGAGCCACATACAGTCGTCAACAGAAAGCACCTCTTATTCAGCGAGAGACGCACATGTGTGTTGTACTTTTAAAAATCGCACTGTACCTATTATTTCAACCAATTTAGCAGTACTGAGCAAATGTTAGCTTTTCCTACGAGAGATCCCACCTTTAGTATCAATCAGAAGAAGTATTTAAAGTGTTTTGATAACAATTGCTAATCATTATCATAGGCTTGTACAGCGTTTAGCAAATGGACGCATGTCGGCGAGAAAGGGGATTATGATGTTTTTTACAGAGGTAAGTGCCTGGTACTCTTCCTTGGGAATGGATACTAAAATACTTCGTATGCACCTTGATTGAATTAGATGTAATGGTTTAGAGGTTACTAAAAATTATATTTCCTTCAACTACCTAATAAATAGGAAACAATATACGAAATTTCAAGGACATACAAAGAATTCAAACACAATAGAATAGTTTGAATTTACTTTTTAGGCATCATTACGTTGTCATGTTTCATATACTGAAACATAATGTATAAACACAAGTAATTATACATCCAAGCTCGAATAGATTAAACATAATTGAACTTACAAATTTGAAGTTTACTGAATTGTAACTAGTTGTTTTCCATAATCTAAAGTTCGTAATGTTACCTAAGCGAATATAAAGTGATAAGTCGAACCTTTGCATCGAATACATATATACATGTCAGTGTTATTACAACAATGAAATGTTTTACGACGTTTGTTACAAAAGACAGTAAGTTGGTAATTCAAAACAGTGTCACACATGGACAGAAGTAATATCATAAGTTAATACATGTAAGCCATGCAAAGGTATTTCAAGCATTTTTGTTCAAGCTGTTGAAAGTTTCATGTTGATTTGAATTGTCAGTTTTCTATGCAATTTACATGAGCATTCTGTAAAACGTTTGTATTTGATCTGTGTAATTATCAAATCCGGTGCAATTATCACGTGTATCAATCAACTCAGTCTCTATTGATCCGTCGTCAATAAAGGCTGGATAGTATATCAGTTACGGTATCGGTACACATGCGTATAATCATTCAAGCAGATTACAGTAATGAGATAATTGAACGCCTCTTTCGACCTTGAAATAACAGTCACCGGTAGAATGCATATGTAGTTACGTCCTTGTTGAAACGTTTGTCCCGTGACAAGTGTAAAATAAACAGATGCGCTGTTATATCATTGGACATCTTGCTTTATGGAGTCACGCCCCTCTCTGTGAAGTTTATACATGCATGCACATCTGTCATCTTATGAACCTCGTTTGCATTCAGTAAAGATATAGGCACGCCCACCTTCATAAATATTGGGGTTGGGGGTGTCAACTGCAAGTTTATACACTATAATAATTCAGTATAGTGTCACCTCGTGAATTCTGTAATGCGTGTACTCTAGTTTGGATAGTCATTCGTATCAAGGTGAAGATTATATTTACATGTACAGCAAACCATTATGTTTTATGTACTAGTTGTGTGCATGAAATGTATATGAAAATAAATACTACCTCTACTCAGTGGTTGGATTTCAATCGCTTTGTTTTACTTACGAAAAACACTAAAATGAGGACAAATAAACTCGCCTAAGTGACTATCTACTCCTATTTGTCTTATGTGTATATTTCATACATCGTTACCAGTGTGTATGTTTACAATACACAAACTGTTACATGATAGCTTGAGTTGATAAAGCCGAAACCCAGCATATCGACTGGTCAAGGATATAGCCAATAAACAATCTCTATCCAAGCTGCTGAGTGACCAAACGTGCTCTTCAGAAATTTCGCCCACGCCCCATCACCTGTCCTTTCCTCTGTGACAGGTATCTCATGATACGATTGGTCGCAGATAACATATGACCAGCCACTACATTGAACAGTTGAGATACCGAACGTTCTATTCGGGGAATTTGATGACGCCCTATCACGTGACTCTTTGTTTTATGTCTATGCAAGGAATATGTAGTAAACATTTTGTATATGTATGTTTGTATGGTCACGTATGTTTTCTGCATTAAATCTGTATGAAATAAAGTGCAATGCTATGAATGTGCTTCATATGCTGCAATTTGATGTGTACCTTTAACACGACCATTACTGTCAAGACAAAAGTTTTGAGGCGGGCCAAGGAGTGCGATAGGCCTCACGATCAGTGAAATGTCTGCACCATCGCTCACGAAACCTACGTCTGCTCGAGGGTGAGAATTTGCACGAATTTACACACTTTCGCACATGTGCAAAACCATTGCCAATAGATGACAACAAATAGCAGTTTAAGACTTTGCAAGTGTTATAAACCGGCGGGAAAGCCGTGACACAATGTAAACAAATCTGACAGCGATCTGATTTCAGTTAAGGTCGATCGAAATAGCAGAATTCGTTACCTTAAGAACAATGTGGTGTATATTGTTACTATCGCCCTTGGATATTCTCAAAAATTTGTCACACATTATAGGATGTTTTAAAGTTTCAAAAACACAATCTGACAGCCTACAGTACACTTTCTGCTATTAGTGCAAAATATTAAGGGAATAATTATTTTTTATTCAA